CTCTGCTGGGGCCCTGTGGCTGCAGGAACCACAGCTACTGTGCTTGTGTGGCCTAATAGTGACATAGCATCTGTGATCACAACCACGTCTCTCCTGCTGGACAACATGGAGCTTTTCTTCTGAAAATTGCACTCTCCCTCCCTCCCTCCCTCCCTTCCTTTCTTCTTTGAGACAGGTTGTCTCTATATAGCCCGGGCGAGCCTCAAACTTGCGCCTATCCTCCTGCCTCAGCTTCCTGAGTGCTAGGATTATAGGCATGCAACACCAACCCTGGTAAAATTCTTATTTTTAAAATATTTCCGCCTTCCCATAAAAAGAAATAAAAATGTAAGTAAGTTTCCATCTGAACTGGGAAGAGGAAACTGCCAGTGACGTCTTGCTCCAAGCAGGAGCCCAGCCCGCTGTGGTTCCACAGCTGTGCCTTGGGGTGACCTGGCTGATGACGACACGGAGTAGTCATAGCCCCAGTGGCAGTGTCACACACCGGGCCCACCGGGGAGGAAGTGGCACAGGCACTTTGAAACTGTGCATCGCAGCTAAAATTATCTCACTAATCACAGCTTCTATAAATCAGCTTGGGCACTTCCCAGGACTGCACACTGGGGAACGAGGGAAAGCTAGAGGGACCCAAAAATTACAGACCTACTTTTGAATCCCCCCACACTCAACCCGCTTGGAGCCATTCACACTGCAAAAAACGATGGCTCTTTATTTTTCCCAGACTACAATAAGCGAGGTCTTTCACGCTGTCAGAGGGCTCAAGGGACAGGTTTTGGGATGCCCTATGCCCCTCCCATAAGCGAGAGTCCCCAGCGGCCAAAGGACCTGTTGCCAGTTCCACATGTTGCAGAACTTTCAAGGGGCAAGGCATGAGCTGCTGGCAAGATTCAGGTTTACTTTTGAAAAATTTCAAGGTCATTCCACAAACCTTGGAAATGGAATCCAAACCCCACTCCAAGTGTATGTCTGCACTCTAAACCCTACTGTCCTGCAGCTCTTCTGCCTGCCGTAGCACACTGCTGTCTCCGGGCCAGGCTGTCACTTAATTTCATTAGAATGTGTCCTGAGGTCATCCGTAAGCTCCTAAACCAACAACAATTAAAAGCAAGGGGCATTCCTTAATTCCTAATCCCAATCGAGTTAGGCAGGGCATTATCCAGCTGATCTGAGAGCCTTTCAAAGCCGTGATAATGAACGTGCCAGACACTCCGCTGGGTTCCTTACATTATCTATCGTCCTCCAGCAGACACAAGGCTTAACCTGCCACAGGTTCCGGGACAGGATGTGGCCCCCTCTGAACAAAAGCTTGGCTCACTGGCCATCACCTGCCCTGCCCTCCCCTCAGCTGGAATTCCATCTTTGTAGAGGAGGAGCTCTGTGTGAGCACACTTTTGTTCCACCTATGGAGTACGTGGGGACTGGAGGTACAGAACTCGGGGTCACAGAAGCCCAGGAAGGGATCTCGATGCACCTTAACTGTTTTACCTGAATCACTGTAACTCATGAAAATTACAAACCAAACTCCCCGTCATCTCTACCCCAGGCCCCCTGCTGGCACCACACGCAGTAACTATGGAAGCATCTTCCTCTTCCTCCTCAGACACACACTGAAACATGCTTCATAGACAGGTGAAGCCTCTTAGTTCCAAGTTAAAATGTCAATAAAAAGATAAAAAAAAATTTTCTTAAAGTTAACATGTCAATGAAACACAACTTCGTCACCAAAGTATACGCTCTATGGATGTTGCAGGGTCAGCAGCTGTTTCCAAATCCTTCCCCCAGTCCATGCCCACCAGCTGCTAAGGACTGAGATGCCCTCCTGGAGGGGGATATTCGGAATCCAGGAGCCTCGCTTCTTGCCCTCATGCCACTGCTTGCTCCTACTCCTCAGCAACTGCCAGGGGATTCTCCTTGGCCCAGGTGACCATGGCCACCTGGAAGCCATTACCTCAACCCTCATCCCATTCCTGGAGCTCTGTGGGAAGCCCACCGGGGTCTGAGGCGGGGGGGATCCATGCCTGTTCTGCCACTTGCTATTTATCTTCCGTGCCTCCAATTCCTACCTGTAAAATGGGCTAGGCCCTGGGGGCCTCGGATGTGTTTTCCAGTGGAAAGTGCTAGACCACTGTCAGGGGTTATCATTAATTTAACTACTCCTAGGTATCCTGTATCTACATTTTGTAGCAGATTAATTCTCACGTCCGCTAGGGACAGCTGCATCCACATCTGCAGTCATTTGCTACTGGTGATTGTGCGTATAGGATTCTACGACCAATGAAAAAATAATTCGGATTCTTTGAGGTGGAGGGGCCCTGCGCCCTGTAGATCAGGTTCCTAATCAGGCCCTTTGTGTCTGTTTCCTCAACTGTGAAATGGGCACAACACCTTCAGGACACGGGGTGCTGCACAAACTGGAAGCCACTCAGGCAAAGTCACCGACCAGGTCTATACCGTGCCCACACCTAGGAAGCACTTCGCAAGAGCTTGACCCAAACTCCCACCGGAGAAAATTACAAGGCCCGGTGCCTCTGCCACATGACCCCATCTGGCCCTGCGAGACACCCCCAGCAGGGCTAAGACAGGTTTGCGCCTCACAGCTGCCTGGGGCACTCAGAAGGCAGGCGGGCGGGAGAACTGTAATTAGACGACCGTGCTGACATTTCCCTCTTAGCTCCAGACATTTATTATGCTTATTTCCTGTAAGCCGGGCCCTTCCTGAAGTACCACAGGGGAACTCCAGGCGTGGAGACTTGGACACTGAGTGACCATTCTCCTGACACCCCCGTGCTATGCTACCCTGGGCAGGCTAGGAGCGGCTCTGGGGCTCTCACCCACCCTCTCCTATCACCCAGCTTCCCTCCAGCTGCTCACGGGGGATGCGTCAGAGTTCCCTCTCCCTCGTTCCAAGGACACCTTTCCACACCAGACACATGCAGGTTTTCATTTTCTTAGTACTAGGGATTGAACCCAGGGCTTTCATACTGAGCCACATCCCCAGCCCACTTTTTATTTATGTCAAGACAGGGTCTCATTGTCTCCAAATTGCCCAAGCAGGGCCTGAACTTTCAGTCCTCCTGCCTCAGCTTCCTGAAGTGCTGGAATTACAGGCCTGTACAACTGACCAGGCCCAGCTCAGATTTTCTTTATAAGAAGAGTCCCCTTTATAGTGAATCTGAGGTCAAGTCACCCCCCAGGAGTGTATAAATAGGTCCGACAGAGGTCAAGTTTCCCAGGGCAAAGGAGGCTGCACTGTCTTGTACTGGAAAGCTCTGGATGACCGACAGCTGTCCCCTCTCCTATGGGACGGAGGACACCAGCCAGGAATGTCAGCTATTAGTAAGTGGTGGCGCTGCTGGCATCGACCTCACCCAGAAGTTAGGCGTCTAAGCAGAGCAGCTACTAATTCATTTGAAATTAATGTAACGGCCCCTTGGCATTTTCACAGGAACCTTGATTCATAAAACATTGCCAATCACGGTACAAGAGTCCCTGGACCAGACATCCCCTCTTTATTTCTTATGGGTTGTGTATTGCTACAGCATTTAATGCTTCCAAACCTTAAAATCTCTTCTGCAAACTGGTGACTGTGTTCCCCAATTCAGAGTTCTTAAAAGAAAAAAAATTTCATGTACATCAAGGTCCGACACAATATACATCATGACTTTTTTTTAAAAATGGAGAGGCCATGCTCTAGGATTCCTGCATGCTAGGTGCCACTTGGAGTAAGTTAGAGAGTCTTTAGTTCCACACCGCCCTGGAAGCAGGTTCTATTACCAGGCCCAGTTCAGTTGGGGAAAGCAAGGGTCAGCAAGGTCAGAGGTCAAGGTCACAGGCTAATGGAGCCTCCAGGAGCAAAGGCCATCTTGCCCCTTGAAGCAATCTCCCCTCTAAGCCCCTCACCCTGCCCTTTTGTCTCGGGACACTTCCTCATGAAACAGGCAGGCTGGGGCGTCACTCCATGCTTCCCATGTATCATTTCACCTGCCCTGGGAGTCACCTTTATCTGCAAACCTAAAAACTGTGTGTGTGTGTGTATGTGTGTGTGTGTGTGTGTGCGTGTGCACTGAGGGAAAAGTCTTGGAAAACAAGGGCTTCTTTTCCTGTGCTGTCCCATACCCTGCATGGCCTCCCCTTTCCCTGGGGTAACCTTGCTCCACAAGTCAAGGCAGCCCAGGGGAAGGGGCTTCCGGGTTCCTTGGCAAGCACCCTAGCAGACCCCTGGATAAGTGGATGTGTCGCACAAAGAAATAAAGTTCAACATTTTAAACATATTAGAAGCTGTTCCTGCTGGCTTTGGCAGTCCCTGCGCAGCCCTGATGCCGCTGCGTGGTCTTGTCTATGATACTGGTGCAGGCATTGGGGGGGCCTCCCCAGCTTTCCTGAGCACTCTGGCCTCTGGCTGGGCAGAGGGGAGTCGGTCCTGGGGAAAGGCGGGTGGTACTGCCTTCCTGGTGCTGCTCCTCTTGCACAAGGCTGACCGACAGCTGTAGGAGGCCTCGCTCAGCCCGGCCCTAGAACCCAGAGAGCAGCGCGGTGACCCAGCAGCAGCGCGGACTGGGGTCACATCTCTAGCCACCCTTCCACATAGTGCAGACCAGGACTGGGGGTGGGGACTCTCACCCCGGGAGAAGGGGCGGCTAGGGACCTGCGCAGCTGTATGCTACGAAAATCCAAGAAAACACTGGGGAGACAGCACCCAGCGTCTGACTGCACCCATGACCTCAACACCCTAAGTCCAGGCACTGGGAGGACCAGGGACGGGGTCTGGAGGCGCTCTGGGAGAGAAAGACCATCACCTCGGAGGCGCAACTCTTGAGCCCTTCCTGGAGATCTAAACCAGACCACCAGATCGAGACGGGTTCATGCCCCGTTTCCTTTTCTTTTCTAACAGGTCAAAGTTGTTCAACTGCTTTGCTTGGTTCTTCAAACTCATCAGATCTCTTTCTGGGGCTTCAAATGCTGGAAATGGTGCTTGGGTAGGAAATACAGAATGCGGCCCGTCTACATCGCCATCACTTTATTGTACTGTCACCGTTAACTTAACTTTAAATACTACGGTGGGAAGCCAGGCCTCGGCCCCGGGCTATGAGCCCGGGCGCATGTCCCCAGGCGCCGACCCGGGCCCTGTACACTATTTACAGTTCCTGTTCCTCTTTCTCGACCCCTCCCGCAAGGCAGCGCGTGTGCAAGAAAGTAGCATCGTCTGTCTGTGCAAGTCCTTGAGCCGGCCAAGCGCCGCGGCCCGCGGCCGTCAGCTGTCCGAGTCCAAATCGCTTTTACCTTCCTCTTCCCTCTTCTCGGGAGACGTTTTCGAGGACGAGGAGGAGGTCTTGTTCCACTTCTCCGCGTTTTCCGACTCCTCCGACGAAGACCGCTTCTGCCGCCTCCATTTGGCACGCCGGTTTTTAAACCAGACCTGTTGCGCAAGGGAGCACAGAACAACAGTGAAGATCGAAAGGCCGCTTCTCCAGCGCCGGGACACCCGGGGGGCTCCGTGTGGCTCCCGGGCGAGGAATCGCCTGCGCGCACCAACAAAAGAGGTGAGCAGCGCTCCCGCTTCCGCGTCTACACTCCACTTCCTGGGCCTAAGCGCCCTCCCGCAGCCCCCAGGCCGCACCGTGAGGATTTTTTTAAGAGCAGGGAGAGCTGGGCGGACCCGGCTGGGCTCCGGTGGATTGCAGGGCAGGAGCGCCAGACGCCCCCGGCTGCGCGCCGCCTACCTCCACTTTCTCCTCGCGGAGGTGCACCTTCCGGGCCAGCTGCTCCCGCGTGCCCACGTCCGGGTACTTGGTCTCCTGGAAGAGGTTTTCCAGCGCCTCGAGCTGCTCGTCGGTGAAGATGGTGCGGTGCCGTCGCTTCCGCCGGCAGTGCAGCTGGTTGAGGAGCTGCAGCTCCGTGCGCGACAGCGTACCCACATTCATGTACGGCAGCATCTGGTGCGGCACCGGGGACACCAGCACGGAGCCGGGACCCTCGTAGCCTGCGACGGAATGGGGCGCATGATCGGCCACCCTGCCTCGGCAACGCGCACCCAGGCAGGCACGCGCGCCCGCAAGCCCGAGGGGCCCCTCTCGCACTGAAAAGGCCATCTGCAAGAGTGCTGGGAACGGGGGCACGAGGATCGGGGCGAGGGGGAATGGAAAGCACACCCGGCCCGCCGCGCCGCGCAAAGCCAGTGGGGAGCTCTAGAAACCTCGTCGCCGAACGCAGGCTCTGAATTACGGCCCGGGCGTGGGTGGAATCACAACCCAGGCGCTGCGCGGCTTGGTTTTCGCTAACTCTCGCCTAAAAGTGCTGCCGCAAGACGCCTACAAACTCCAGTGCCCGGCCGGCCAAAAAAAAGGGCAGTGCGGAGCGGAGGGAGCTTGCAAAAGAAGAAAAGTTCGCGCAAGGTGAATAAGGCTAGGCTAGCCCGCGCCCGCACCCACCCAAGTCCTCCGGCGCCTAGCCCGGCGCGCGGCCCTACCTGGGGGCGTCGGGACGCAGGAGCACTGCTGGGCGCCCAGCGGCGGCACGGCCCCGCAGCACGCTGGGCCCACGGGCGCCGCCTGCACGTGCAGCTGCCCGTAGAAGTAGTTGTTGTAGCCGAGGCGGGAGCCGCCGACCGCCGCCGGGAGGCCCGCACCGCCAGGGGCCACTGGACGCGGGTAGAAGGCGCCGTAGTCCGAGGAGCTGCCGCCGCCGGCGCCGTAGAGCGAGTCTCCGTGCAGGGCCGGGAAGACAACCGGGGCCGCGGCGCTGGGCGCCACCGGCAGCACCGAGTCTTTGCAGCGCGGCCGGGCGGCCAGGATGTTGTCGATGCTGAACATACTGGCGGGCATCCCCGAGCCTCGCGCCGGGACGGGGGGCGGCGGGAACGCGACGAGGAAAAAGCTTCCAAGTGGAGGGAGGCCCCGCTCTCCTCCCGCCGGCGACCAAAGCGAAAGAGAGCGCGGGCGAGCGCGCAGCCCCGCGCCCCTCCCCGCCCCCTGCGTCCGCGCGCCCTCCGCCCGCCCCTCGCCGCCGCCGCACTCGGCCCGCGGGGAGGACGCAGCTCGGACCAGCTGAACCTCTTGTTGGTTTTATACCGAGTCGACGTCATCTTGGATTTAGTTCCTGGTAATATGCAGATGACAAACAGACCCAGATTTGGCTCTTTCTTTTCCTTTGGGTGGGGGGAGCTTGGGGGGGAAAGGTGCCAAGGAGAGGGGGTTCCAGGGCCTGAAAAGAGATTGTGGATTGAGAATTAATGAAATTAACCTAATCTTTTCCATTCGGCTGCCCCGCCGCGGGCCGGCCGAGCTGGGCGGGCGGCCTAATTGCCCTCGTTAATCTCATTAATCCCATTGTGCGGCCGCATTAACAACTCCCACCGCGACCTCTCCGCCCCCACCCGTTTTTCTCAGATTGGGTCCTATTATTGGGTGCGATTTCCTCTGCCTGCAGCTCAAATTCACTGTGGCCGATTTTACTTTGGGGCTACTTTTTACCCACTTTAGGAATTTTTTTGTTTTAAAAAATGTGAGTGGTTACGTCCTCCCTCCAGTCGGATTGAAAATTCTGCTCCTCCTCCCGGCCCCTGTACACTCACTGCCTAATTTCACCTTTTTTTTTTTTAATGTTGAAGTTCTCTCCCGAATGGAACTGTTTAAACAAAACCTTTTTGTTTTTGCAAAAGCCCACATTTGTAAAAGCAAAATCGACGAAAGAAGAGATGTGTCGCCCGTGTTTCTGAAACGTGTTTTCTTTTTGTTTCGTTTTTTATTTTTATTTTTTTCAGCTACGTAGGGTCTGGAAACTGCTCTCAGACCCTACCTAGTTCTTAACACAGCGAAGACCAAATTCAACCACTATTTAGAATTCACCACCGAGAGTAGCACCCTGAGTGTCGGTAGGTTTTTGCGCCTCTTCTTTTTAATTATTATTTTTGGAAACGGGTGGGGGTGGCTCTTCTCCCCGACTGTTTTTCGTTTTCAGTCAGGATGGGGCCTTGGGGCTTCTCTATCTCCTTCCCGAACAACTGAGTTGTCGTTTTTTTTTCCGCATCTGACCTAGTTGCTCCCTGGCAGCCAGGTCCCCCCGCCGAGGTTGCCCTTCCCCTGGCAGCTCCAGGCTGGGCTCCCGGGGCCCGGGCAAAGGTGGCTGTGCTCCCCGCAGGCGGCCTCCGCGGTCTGCGGGATCCTTTGCGCTGCACAGCCAGAGGCGCAGCGAACCCACCTCTGCGGCGCTGGCGGCAGCGCACCCTAGAGAAGGTGGGCGACGGGCCGCGCAGAGCTAAGGCAGCCCCCAGGTCCTTGGCCGAGGCTCAAGCCCCCGAGCAGGCAGAGCGGTCCCTGTGCGGCCGCTCTGGCCACTCCAGCGGAAGAAGCACGCGGTACCAGACTGAGGAGCGACTGCCCAGGGCTAGGGTGGGGGACACCGCGCTCCCCAAGAAAGGCCACCTTCACTCCTGCCTGGCGTTAGTGACTTCTTTCTCTGACTAATAAAGCACACCTCCCACCCCACCCCCCGCGCCACAAAGTTGTCTAAAGTCCCCGAAGTAGGGGTACTTGTGCAGCGTCCTCCCCGGCGCAGGGGGGAAAGGGAAGGGCCACTGTGTACCGGAGCCACAGATTCTGCCGGGTGCACAGAAGCTCCAGGGCAGCCGGGCAGTGGCGCTTCTCCTCCTAGGCCCTGACTTGAACGTCTGGGTCCAAACGCCCACCCGATCCTCGCAGCCTACCGGACTGGGTTCTGAGCTGTGCAAGCTCGGGCTTGCTGTAGGGCGCAAGTAGGACCCGATGGAGATGAGCCACAGTTTGGAAAGGCAATGGATTGAAGAAAAAAAAAAAACAACCCGCTCAGGGAAGGGAGTGTAATCCTCTCCTTCACAGAGGCCAGGTCTGTGGCAAAATTGGGTGCCCCCCCGCCCCCGTCCTGCTGATTAGGGAGGGAAGCACTTTTTCCATGCGTAGACTGTTAAGAGTTCTCCAGGTTGCAAGAGGCGGCACTGGCCACCAGCCTTTAGCAACTTGAGTTCCTTGGGCAGGGGATGGCAGAGAACTGGAACGTCGGAACTTCAGCCCTGACTGGGCCCGAGGTAGTGACGGGGTCTGCAGGTGTGCGGCGGATCTTCTAAGGCTTTTGCCAGAACCTAAGGCTAACAGAGGAAAAGTGCTGTAGGATGTTTGGGGCCGATCCCCATCTGTCCCTCTTTGCAAAGGGTGCTCAGAGCAGCACCGGCCTGAGTTTTCAGCCCTGGACCCAAAAGAGGGCCTGCAAGCTTTTAAAAGTATAAAACATCCTCACCCGTGCAGTGCTTTGTGTCTCCTCCCCTTCGTACACTGTTCTTAACCAGGTTTAAGGAAGCCGTGGCCAGCGTCTCTTTGCTAAAGCTGTCTCGCTATACACGCCACTCTGGAGGGAATCCATGAGTGTGAGCGTCGGCGTTCAGAATGAACAGGCAAATTTGGAGGCCTCAGGATTTTATTTATATTTATTTTTGGCAGTTGAACTGAGGGCCTTCACAAGGATCTACATCCCCAGCCCCACTTTTAGCTTTTGAGACAGGGTCTCCCTAAGTTGCTATAGGCTGGCCTCTAACTTGTGACCCTCCTGCCCCAGCCTCCCAGGGGGCTAGGATTGCAGGCGTCCGCTACCAAGGCCGGTTTCCAGTATTTTAATGGATCTGACCAGGTCTAGCCTTCATCGGATTCCTTTCAACCCTAATACTGTGAGAGCGACTGTCACCCGCAGGCCAACTTAGATTAGGGGAGGACCTAATAATTTCTTTAGGAGGAGGAATTGTGCGGTCCCCACCCCTGCCAGCAGCCCAGGGCAAGGTCCGTGGAAGAGCTGGGTCCAAGATAAGGAAAAAGGAGTCTGCAGGCTCTTTGCTGCACTGAGAGAGCTTTCCCGAAAAGGGTCGGGGGGACCTGGAGCGCGGCACACTTTCCTTGCTCAGCCAGCTCTGGGGCACTCACCCCCTGTGTGGCGGGGCCTCCCCCTCCATCTGCGGATTCAACGCTGTCTTGGGGACGCTAAAGCTGGGGAAAGCAGTAGGGGTTTCTGCTCCCCACTACGCCTCCTCAGCGGGCAGAACCCCACAAGGGTCTGAGGTGCAAGGTAAACAATCTCGCCCCGGCGCAATTGGAATAACAAATGCCACGCACGCAAATTGTTCCCCTCGGGTTGCTAAGCGATTGTTTGTCGGCCCCGCACGCACCGCTCAGCATGGGAGGACCTGCCGCGTCCGGAGGCGGCTGCAGGGCTAGGTTAGAAATGCAGTAAACAGGCCGCTGATTTTCCCTATTATCACCCAAACACGATTCCACACAAAGCAATCACCACGCAGAAGTCTATGAAAATGTGTTTGTTGAGGAGTCACTCTCTCAGTAATAGCCCTCATTTTTAAGATATTAAAGAACAGATCAGTGGATTCCACATGCAGAAGGCGTATTTGCTGGTCCACATCTCTGGAAGACGCGTTTGCGCTGCGTGCCTCGGTCATCGCTAAATTGGCTCAAAGAGCGTAGATTAAATTGCTTCTCTGATTTAAAAGAGTGCCCAAATGTGCGTGTGGGTTGTCTCCTCTTACCCCAGGATACTCTCATTTTAGAGAAAGTGGTCACCGCCACGCTGTTTATAGCGGCCCCGGAGCTGGGGGGGAAAAAGTGTATATACGGCCCTAACTTCTAATCGCTTCTTAATCCTTTCAGTCTCTTGCTTGGTCACAGAACAGAGTTTATAATCGTGTATAAGTAGGATTTTTCGTATCATGCAAAAACCTGGCGCGTCCTTTTCAAAGGTACGAGCCCTCCGGGCTGCCCATAGCGAAGAATGGATACAAATCGCAGACCCAGGGAGCGGGCACAGCGCCGGAGAACTCCTTACGGTTCTCATACCGTGCAGATTGGTTTTTGTGGTTTGTGTTTGTGCTTAAAAAAAGAAAGAAAGAAAGAAAGAAAGAAAGAAAGAAAGAAAGAAAAAACTCAAGCGTCTCAAAAGCAGTGCTTGAAAGCCGTTCGGTGCCGTAGCTCCGTGGCGCAGAGTGGGTCCTGGGTCTGACCGATGAAGGGCAGAACCGCAAGTGCGGGGTTCCCGCTTTTAAGCTAGGTCACTCACTAGCTAGATTTTGTTAAAAGTTTTACAACATTCTAAGGAAGAGCCGGAGAGCCCCGCAGGACAAACTAATCAAAGTGTTACTAAGGCTCAACATAGCCCTGGGGGAAAAAGGAGGTGTTGGAAAAAATGACATGTTCCCAAGGCCTCAGAAAATGGAAAAAAGAGAGAGAGAGAGAGAAAGAGCGAGCGAGCTTCGGTCTTCCCGGGTTGCAGAAATCTGCTTTTAGCCGGGTTATTTACCACAAAGTTTGTTCCAAAGTGACTGTGCTGTTACTTTTGCAAATCACAGGATACAAAGGTCCATAATTTGTTCGCAGAGAAACTTTCTCTTGAAATGATTAGCAAAGTCAGTCATTTGAAAATTAGAGCGAAGACACAGACGTTCCCGAAGCCCCTCGCTAACCGATAGCAGCTTCTAAAGTTTTCATTCATGTAAACCTCATTAATGAAGATCTTTTATTTAAACGTCAAGGGGATTTGAAATTTAGAGTAAATTATGAAGCTTGTATGTCTAGCCAAGTCATGGGTCAAATGCATTTGTGAAAAACTGCTAAAAGAGCATATGGTTTTGAATTTTTCTACAATGACTAGTGTTTAAATAAATTGCTTGTACTGCTTAACTTCATGTGTAATTTTGACAGAAATTGGCCTATAGCCTTTTGATATGTAAACATTTCAGCCTTTTATGCGGTATAAAAAAGACACTTGCTTTTTAGGATCAACTCAGGCAGTCACCCTGTAATTCAGAACGCTGGCACCTACCATTACATTCTTGCTAGATTTCAACTTTCAAGTGGCAGCCTCAGGGAAAAAAAAAAAAAGAAAAGAAAAGAAAAAAGAGGATATTTCAAAAGCAATGTC